ATGTCTCCCTCTCTGTCTCTGCTCCTCCTCCACTCACATTCTCTCTCTCTCTCTCTCTCTCTCTCTCTCTCATAAATAAACATTTAAAAAAATTTTTTTTAATTTTCACTTTGGTGGTTGTCCAGTAAAGTCAAGATAGGTCCTGGTCCTGGTAGAATGCCACAGAATGTCAAATCTATTATTTACTTTTTCTAGGTTTTTGCAGGAGAAAAATGAGATATGAGCCTTTGACTAGGATATAGACAAGGGAAACCTAATACTTCCTTAGTTCTATTAATCCAGCAGAGCTCCACCCTGAAAGATCTGAGCATGACTGACATAATATTAAAGCATCTGATGGAGCACCTGGGTGGCTCAGTCAATTGAGCAACTGGCTCTTGGTTTCAGCTCAGGTCATGATCTCATGGTCATGGGATCGAGCCCTACACTGAGCTCCATGCTGACACCATAGAACCTGCTTGGGATTCTCTCTCTCCCTCTCTGCCCCACCCCTCCACATGTGCACATGCTCATTCTTTCTCTCTCAAAATAAATAAACTCAAAAACATTTTTTAAGCATCTGAGTGATATAAATTTTATTTTCTCTTTTCAGTTCCTCTGTAATGAAGAGCCCAAGTCTCAAAGCCATGTAATGGTACAATCCTGTAACTGTGCTCTGGAACCAGTAGCATTAACCCTTAATAAAGAAGGACATTCTTACAGAATGGAGCAGGGGCACTTGGGTCCTTCCTGGGTCAGTCAATAGTATTTTCTGACCTCTCAGTGCCTTAGTCTCCAATCTTATAAGAGAAAGATAATGAAATTTTTCTGTCTATAAAAAGGATGGAGATCCTCAGATTATGAAAAACGCCATTCTTTTTTGATGAACCATAATGAGTGAACTGCTACATTTCATAATGAGAGAACACTGCTACATTTCAAGGATTCCCAGCTGGTCTTTAAAAAAAACCAACAGATTGAACCAATATGTTAGGGCTTGATTATTTTCTACATTCTTTGGCATTTACCAACCTTTTAACAATCTAGAAAACAATGAAAATTATTTCCTTGTCCAAACATCATGTCAGAAGCTTCTTTTTAAATGGGATTTTAAAATAATGATACTGTGTTAACTAAAAGAACATTATATAGTAATGAGGGCCACTTCATTAGAAGAATATCAAACATGATTTTAGAATTTAGCATTTGAATTTACTTACAATTTTTCTGATGACAGACAAAGAGCAGCAAGAAAAACAGGCTAACTCTCTTAGGCCTTTCAGGGTTTTAAATATTTTGCCTCATGGTGTGCTGACTTCAGATAAGAGTGGGTAAGAGAGCCATCACTAGATCAAAGATCTAGTGTCATTCAGAATGGGGGGGAAGGGGTTTTTCTGAAAACAATTTCAGCTATTTTCTCAAGGTTATTCAGAAGCACTTTCCTTTGGGTTTGCCTCTATATTTTTTTGCTTGCTTACCCATGATTTTAGAATGATTAAAATTTTCCCTTGGTTTTCATAGAACCTAATTACTGTCCACTGTTCTTTGAGTATATTGACTCCAGGAAGGTAATGGAATCACACAAATGAATCCCAACACCCGGGCTAGGTTCCCCAACAGATCACACACTCATGTATAACAACAGAATCAGACACAAATCAGGATTTGTCCAGGGAATTCCTTGAAGGACACCCATAAAAAAGGCTATCCTCTGTGAGATATAGATGTTCTAAGATTGTCTGTGGTTACATTGTACACAATGCTCATGATGGTTCTACCTTAGAATCCAAAGATTAAGAGACTGTATAAACCCCTAAATAGAAAGGAAAAAAGGAAACATTAAGTTTGCTATCTGATCCCAAGAAATAGTGACAGTTCAGGAAAATCCCTAGGTCATAGGCTCCAGTGCTAAAGTCCTTAAGGATGTAAAGTTCAGTTGCAAAAGATGTGATTGCCTTCTTACCACCTCTCACTTCCACTTTCCTCTTCTCCCACCTCTGGGATGGCAGCAAGTGAGGAGAGAAATAGAATTCAACTCTACTGTCATTTGCACCAATATTTGCCCTCAAGATTTAGGTTCTAAATCTTTACTTTGAAGGGCCCTACAGAGTCTCCTCAAAATTCAGAAAACCAATAATTGGATGTATTAGACAAAGGAGAAGATAGAAATGCTGAAATCCGTTGAATCATTTAATAGTCTCCATAAAACTATTGTGAACCAACGTTTCATAAACTCTGAAATGTAAGGGTGGAAGTCACTGACAACCAGGGAAAAATCCAGTTCCTTACAATAAAACAGAGCTGAGATTTGCAAGTGATCGCCAGGGTTGAGAAAGGCCTGACAGATATAATGGGCTAGAATGACCGATTACTTTAATGTGCTTTTAGGAGAAGCAGACTCAAGTGTTTAAATGTCATAATCATTAGTAACTTAGGCTGAGTAGGATGATTATATCTACAATAATGCATTACACCAGCTCTTTTTCTCCAGGGGCATCAATATGCTAATGAGAAAAGATATGAGCAAACTTCATTTAGACGTAATATCCTAAGAATGAAATTTCACAGATTTCATGTTCTCTTTTTTATTATTTTATTATTTTATTTTTTTAGTGTTTTTGAAAGAAAGAGACAGAGTTTGAGTGGGGAAAGGCAGAGAGAGGAGACACAGAATCCGAATCAGGCTCCAGGCTCTGAGCTGTTAGCACAGAGCCTGATGTGGGGCTCGAACCCATGAATGAGGAGATCACGACCTGAGCCGAAGTCAGATGCTTAACTAACGGAGCCACCCAGGCACCCCACAGATTTTGTGTTCTCTTATAAACAATTAATGAAAACATATTTTTAAGCTGCCAAAACTGCTTACCAAAGAGGCAATCCCAGTCTGTAGAGAAATCATCATAAGACCCAAAAATACAAATGCAAACATTTTCCCACCTTCATTTTTAGAGAAAAAACTAAAACTAACTCTTTACACACTCTCATCATCCTAGAATTGCTTCAGGTAGAGTTATATTATTTGGTTCTCACCAGTTTATGTTAAAGTTTTTGTTTAACCCCATTCTAGAATTTATATCTTTTATAAAGTAAAGGGCCTAGAGGTTACTACTTTTTTATGAAGTCATAATTAAACATTAATTTCTTTATTTCACTGTTTTATTTAAATATTAGCACTTTAAAAAAATTACAGATTCTGTCAAATATTCTATCCATTCATGTTAGGTGGCATCAGTAGTACCTCAACTGTCAGGAGGATAGGTCTGTGAACCTCATGTCAAACAGCTACGTGAGCAAATAGTGAGATAAACAAGTCATTCGTGGAGACAGAGGTGGAGCTGGGCTTGGTTAGGAATGAATCAGGCCATCCCACAGAGTGGGTGTCTCCTTCCCAAGTTGCTCTTCAGGGCACAATTAAATCCCCTATAAAAGGCCCAGCTCCCAGCTGCCCAGTACACTTGTCAGCAGTGTCAGCGAGCGCTCAGCTTCCTTTGGTGAAGTGGGTAAGTCCCAGCCAATGGATCATTTCTTCTGTACAATTCATTTTCCAGCTGTAGTAGATGCTGGGTGGGGGTCTAGAGGGTCTATGTACCAGAAAGGATCAGTATCTTCCAGGGATATCAAACTCCCACTAACTTCATGCCATTTTATAGCTGGAGCCATCACTGAAATGGAAACTTGGCTCTTCTCACAAGTCTCTGAATTCTTTAAGTTTGCACATTAGGGGTGGAGGGTGGTTCATGCGTGACTCTTATGGGGTTCATCTTCCTAAAAATTGCCGTCTCAAGAGGTTGCCAATCCGGGGCGCCTGGGTGGCTCAGTCAGTTAAGCGTCTGATTTCAGCTCAGGTCATGATCTCGTGGTTGGTGGGTTCGGCCCCACGTTGGGCTCTGTGCTGACAGTCAGCTCAGAGCCTGGAGCCTGCTTCTGATTCTGTGTCTCCCTCTCTCTCTGACTCTCCCCTGCTCATGCTGTCTCTCTCTCTCAAAAAAAATAAATAAAACATTTAAAAAAATTTTTAAAAGAGGTTGCCAATCCTCAGTACTCTTTTTATATTGGTTCTACTCAATATGGGCCATCTTCATGTAGTTATGACATCTAAGAAGGCAGCCAATAACTGAGTATTTGCAACATATCCGGGTTAATGCAAATAACGTGTACTGTTTTGTGCATTGTTATACCTGAATATTATAATGCCACCTTTGCCTAGGAAGAAGTGGTGCTTAATCTTAGAAATAGTGACTTATGAATTATCCTCATAGATCTCATATGTACTATAATGTTGGAAAATAATCCATGTTCCCTTTTTATTTTTCTGGTTACCACCAAATGTTTCGCTGCCCCAATTAGATCTACATAGCTTCTATCCACTTTAAGATACTCTCAAATCTTCCTTCACCTTTTGGCTTTCACCTATTCTCCTTATTCATCTTTAGAAGAAGATGCTTATGAATAGCCACATATCAAATTTAAATTTCTACACTCCTCACTATTTTATCTGAAATGTGCTAGGGAGCAGGAAGAGACAGAAGTAAAGGATATGGATAATCCAGATTGACTAGACAATCAAAAGCTGACTACAGAATAGTCTGAAGATAATTCCATAGCTTGAAATTTCTCAGGATCTGTCTTTCCCTTCCTAAGTACAATATTCAAAAATAAAAAGCTTTGAGAGCCCAGGTTAAAAACAGTAGTTGGGGCACCTCGATGGCTCAGTCAGTTAAACACCTGACTCTTGATTTCGGCCCTGCTCATGATCTCAGGTTGGTGAGATTGAGCCCCATGTAGAGCTGGGTGCTGACAGAATGGAACCTGCTTGGGATTCTCTCTCTCCTTCTGTCTGTGCCCCTCCCTCACTTGTGTTTCTTTCTCTCTCTCTCTCTCTCAAAATAAATAAAAATAAAATAAACTCAAGAAGAAAAGAATTACTGTTGTAAGTTTAGGGCTCTGATTGAAACAGTGTGGATGAAGCCTCCCCAAGATGAGAAGTAGTTTTAATTCTGGGTCCTACTTTACTCTTCTAGATTTACTTGAACTTGAAGGAAGGGAAAAAATGTCTCCACTTCTGAGAAGCATCTTCGACATTACTGAAATTTTCAATCAATATGCCTCACATGATTGTGATGGGGCAGCAATAAGCAAGAAAGACCTGAAGAACCTCCTTGAAAGGGAATTTGGAGATGTCCTTCGGGTAAGAAATAACAAGAAAAGGAAATCTATTGATTTAGGATTATAAAATTTCTTCTCAGGAGAGATCATAGCAAAGAGTGGTGACTTTGTATCCATTTTATACCATCACAGCTCTACACTACATTCTTCATTCATCTGAGTCAGAAGGCACTTAACTGGCATTGTAGTCTAAGTACTTAAAGAAGTTACTAGCAAATATTTCATGTACTTGAAGGAAACGTCTATGTGAATGAACATTGGAAGTTATCACCAAAGATGTCAGATCAAACTAAATTTGGAAGCAATTTAAATTTACTTCCAAATTTTGATCATTAAAATCAGTGTCTTCACTAGTAAAATGGTGTTAACATAAATGTTTTGTTCTGTTTTCAAACATGGGATAAAAATCAATCAAGGGTACTGACTATTTCAGACAGAAATGGCTGCTGTAAAACTTCAAAATTCTTTGTTATTCTTCTGTTGAGGATGAGGTCATTCTTATTCACCCAGCTAAAAAGAACTTGGGTTCTTTTGATCAGCATTAAATTAGAAGTTACAAAAAATCTCCAACAAATGTATGCTTTAAAATGAAGTGTTCACATTTTACATAGGGACAAGACTGGAAACACAACTGGATGTTTTTCTAAATGCTTTTAATGTCTTGTGAGTGTCAGCGTATCACAAAATATTCGTTGTGTGTATGAGTGAGTTTACTATTTGTAAATAGTACACTGTAAAATTTTTGTTTTCACTTTTTCGTAGAGACCACATGACCCTGAGACAGTAGATCTGACCCTGGAACTTCTGGATCGAGACTGTAACGGGCTCGTTGATTTCAATGAATTCCTCCTGTTCGTTTTCAAGGTAGCTCAAGCTTGTTACTACGCTCTCAGCCAGGCTTCCGGGCTGGATGAGAAGGGGGCCAGGTGTGAGAGAAAGGAGAACTCGTTACAAGATCCCAGGCAAGAAGACGAGAGGAAATTTGAGTCCCGGGACAGGCACCTAGAAGATCACTGGCAGAAAAGGCAGGAACTGGAGCGGGAGATCGCGGAGGGAGACAAGCAGCGGCTGCAGAGGCGAGAACTAGAAGAGCGCCTGCAGGAGGAAGAGCGGCTGAAGAGGCACAAGGGTCGGGAGCCTGAGAAATTTCCTGACGGAGAGCAAAGGCAAGAAAGGCGGGAGCAGCGCGAGCTCCAGGAAGAGGAGCAGCTGCAAAGGCAGAAGCGGGAGCAAGAGGAGCCGCGCTTGGAGCAGGAGCTAAGGCGCGAGCAGGAGGTGAGGCGCGGCGAGCAGCGCTTGGAGCAGGAACTGAGGCGCGAGCAGGAACTGAGGCGCGAGCAGGAGAGACGTGAGCAGGAGCTGAGGCGCGAGCAGGAGGTGAGGCGCGGCAAGCAGCGCTTGGAGCAGGAACTGAGGCGCGAGCAGGAACTGAGGCGCGAGCAGGAGAGACGTGAGCAGGAGCTAAGGCGCGGCGAGCAGCGCTTGGAGCAGGAACTGAGGCGCGAGCAGGAACTGAGGCGCGATCAGGAGAGACGTGAGCAGGAGCTGAGGCGCGAGCAGGAGGTGAGGCGCGGGGAGCAGCGCTTGGAGCAGGAGCTGAGGCGCGAGCAGGAGAGACGTGAGCAGGAGCTGAGGCGCCAGGAGCCGCGCTTGGAGCAGGAGCTGAGGCGCGAGC